CCGCCCCCTCCCCGACGCCATTGGCACCGATTGCCACCCAGGAACCAGCGCTCGCCTCCCTATCCCCACCTCCTCCTCCTCCCTCGCACTCCTCACTTCCTCGGTTGGAGAGCTCGGCGCAGCCAGCTGCCTGCCCGCGACCAGTGCCGCTGCAGTCCGACCCTGCGTGCTAGGGCAGCCCATCGAGCCTGGGTCTTAGGGAGCACGGCCCGCTGCCGGGTCGTCGCCTCCTAGGGGCCTCCGGGCTCCACTGCTTCCGCTGCCAGTGCGGCAGCCGCCATGGCGACAGCGTCCTGCTGCTGCTCCATTGGTTTTGAAGTTTAGATTAGATATATGAATCCTTGCATATGAGCTTGACTGATGATAATTATTTTTGTGGCATACCATTGATTCTTTTTACTATAGCGGCATGCACTAAGACGTTCTGTTCATCCGATCACCCCATTACGTAGTTTTTAAGTTTTTTTTTCTTCCTTTGTGTTTTACCCAGTCAACCTCCTTTCAAGTTCATCTGGATGTAAAACTAATTGTCACTGGTATATTGTGCTAACGCTACGGCAATATTAAAGAAAATAAAGTGACAAACTTTTACGTGAGAAAATATACTTCAAAGATAATGAAAACCTGTGGACACTATTCCATATTTCCCAACCTCATCTTGGTCGTATCGGCAAGCAGAGAGCAGTAACAGCTTGCGGTCCCCTACCTTACTGCATGGCCATGCCATGAAATCACGAGGCCATGCGCAGGAAGCCCAGAAATTAGTTGTGATCTTGTTTCACAAATTAGTTGAGGGCTCATCTAACCTGATAGCATTTTAGAGAAACAAAGTAATGAAATAAGCTTCACCATTAGCTTAGGGTGTACAAAGCTTTGTTTTGACTGTTCCATTATAGTGTAGATCACAACCCGATCGAAAGCAAAACCACAGCTGAGCGCGGACAAATCTCAGACCCAAAACATTAGCTACCCCAACCATTTCATCACGCGACTAGAACTACTATCCAAGGAACCGACGGATCTACCAGCGCACACACCCACACCACTAGCGAGGCCCTCTCCACTCCCACCTAGCCTGTGGCCCACGCGCTCCCACGGGGCCCACCAAGGCCCAGCCGCTGCCAGTCGAGGGGATACCCTAGGGCGTGAACGTCTCATGCGCCCTAGGCTCCGAGCCACCGTCGTAGCTCGGTCAACTGACAACGCAGGGAGCCGTGCCGTGCCACGACATCCACCTCGCGCCTATATATGGGCATGCAGCCTGAGCCCGTCAGCCCGACACGAGGCCCTTTTTTTGGCACGGCCCAAGCACGGCCCGACCTAGTGGCCAACGGGCCTGGGCTGGCACGGCCCGAGAGAGCAGGCCGTGCTCAGGCCTTACCTGTGCACGCTGGGCCGGCACGCACGACGACCCATAAATTAGGGGTGGCCCAGTGGCGGCCCGGTGCCTGGCATGGCCTGCTAAGAGCCGCTCTCTCTCCGTGGCCGGCTAAGAGCCGCACTCTCTCCCTGGCCTGCTAAGAGCCCGGTGGCTGGCCCTAACCCTAACTCTCCCGACGCCGCACTCTCTCCTCTCCTTTCCCCATCCTGCGCCACTCTCTGACTCTCTCCTTGCGAGTCGCTAGGCTCGCCCCCTGCCAAGCTCCACTCGCCCCCACACGTAGCCCCACCCGGCACCGGTGGCGCCTCCCACTCTGAGCTTGGGCAAGCATGGCGCTCCCCCTTCCTCGATCCCGCCTCCACCAGATCCGCGGCGTCCGCTGTTGGAGGTTTGGAGCCCGCCTCCACCAGATCCTTTTGCATGGGCACCGGCCACCGGCCACCGGCCACCGACACGCCGCTGCCATTAGGAGCGCGCTACGCGAGCCGCAGCAGATCTGATGCCGCCGACGCGACTGGCGGCCCCCTAGACCCCGTGCCCCGACGCCGCCGTCATCGCCTCCATGGCATCGAGCTCGGACCTCGGCTCCTCTCCTCCCCTGCTCAAGCGGGCCTCGGGCTGGCCCGGCCTCCCTGATAGGTCGTGCCTAACGGGCTGGCACGACCCGCAAAATGGCCCATAGTGCCGTGCCTGGGCCGAAGGCTAGGCCCGCGTGCCTGAGAGGCACGGCCCACAGGGCACGACGTGCCGTGCCGGCCCGCTGGCATCGGGTCGTGCCTGGCACGGGCCCTTGCCCGGCCTGCTGCCCATCTATACTCGCGCCACGCCGATGTCGTCTCCGATCCATAGTGCGCCTGTGCTAACACTACAGTAAAATACAAAATAAGATAAAAATTATAAAAAAACAAAACGAACAATCAGAATATCATTAAGATTCAAGGAACAAAACCCTGCAAAGAAAGCCTAGAGTGCAGGTGTGGATTTGAACTCCCAAACATGAGACAAACCGTTGCTTTCTGATGCTAAGATACTGCAGAATGATTATCTGCTGGTCTATCTGTTGGTGTAGGGCGGTATAAAATGCATTGACGTCAATATCTCTCCAAAAATTAATATGGCATTGGTTGAAAGAATATCAACAAGATCTCGAACTGTAGAGCATATGGGGAACTAATGTTTTTCCAACGCCAACAAGATGATTCCAGGGATATTTAATTTGGGGAGGTATGGACACATGCATTTCCCTCGTCCCTGAACATTAGCCTACTTATCCGGCTATGGATTTAGTTGTTAAATAAGATAAAAACAACTACCAAGGCATTGTGAGGAGAAAACTAAAGCAACATAATCCATGCAAATAAACACAAGTATGAAGGTGTGGCCGTCATTCGCAATACGAGGCCAAAAAAAATTACCAGTGCAAAGGTATGTTTCACTGTGAAAATAAACAATTTTAAATGTGTTGATTTTATTATCACATATTAGCCAGGAATTTATCCCTTCCATGTTGACTCTAAATGTCATCTAATCAATCGTACAAGGGGTGTATCAGTTGGGTATGCAGTTGTAAAATCTAGAGCTAACAATTGGTCAATAATTTAAGAGATTGTTTTTTTTTTTGAGAACACGTCCGTTGACGTGTAATTTAAGAGACTGTGACATGGTACATAATGCATCAGAGGCACTAAATTCCAACCGAGGCAAGTTGAGTACCAGAGATACATAATGCCAGTGGGGGAATAATCTAAATCATAGATGAACTAAAAAATTGCGAGAACCAGTTATATGAACATAGGAATGTACACAACCAATCTGTACTGCCCACGAAAACAACACATGCCGTTGCTTTATCAAATCACAAACCAAAATCATGTATCGACAAGAATATAGAAAAAGTATAGAGAAAAAGTATCAAATCAAATAAAAAGACTGATTAGGATGCTCACCGATTGGAAAATTACAAGAAAGCCACGACCTCCTTCTCGAATGTGGGTTTGGTAAGGGAAGACGAACCACAAGGCCTGGGAGCGCACAGAGGCGGACCTCTCCGCCGAGCAGCAGCGGATCAAGGAGTACGTCGCCATCTGCTCGGACCTATTGAAACTAAAGAGCAGATGATCCTAAATAACCTCATTAGCCTACTACCTAGCTGAAAACAACAAGATAAAAGTCCATCTTTCCTCTCTAAACTATCATTGTAGCCTGATTTTTCTCCTCAATGTCTAAAACTAAACATCTTACTCCCCATGTACACTCAAAACCATTCAAATTACCTCCTTTCCCTGGCTTGAAGTGGTCTCAAAGGCGGTTTTTGTACCTTTTTATAGTTACAAAATTTGATAAATATTTTATAAGAATTTTAAACCACATAAAATGTCTTTAACCTTCTAAAACTTCTAAGAAAAATACTAGAGATAGGCTAGGATACGATAAACCCAAATAAAATATTTAGAGCTCATGAAAATATATTTAGAAGCTTCTAAATGTGGTGTAAAAAAATGGAGGAAAATATCCAAAAAATATTTAAAAATTATATGTTGAAACTTATAAATTTAACTATTGGAAAATGGAGAAAATGTCCAAAAAATAATTAAAAATACCCAAACTATTGCAATCGACATCTAAATGTGGTGTAAAAAACTTTTCACAGCAAAAGTATGAGATGCAACCAACATGTATGCAACATATATTAATAGTGAAAGCATTCATGCTAGTTGCGTCTTATGTTTTCGTTGTGGAAAGTTTTCAAAGCACTTTTATACATTAATAGAATGTTTTGGGCATTTTTCTAGAATTTTCTGAATGTTTTCCCATCTTACTAGGGTTTGGAGATATTTTTCATGAACTCTAGATATTTATTAGTTGGATTCTTCACATCCAAATCTTTATCTAGGATTTTTCTCCGAATTTTTAGAAGCTTAGAGACATTTTATATGGTTTAAAAGTCTTATTATGTATTTACTGGATTTTCTAACAAAAGGATAAAACGACTTTCAAAGGAGATAATTTTAACAGTTTTGCAAGTCTAGATGATATAAGATTTCTGGTCGTAGAGTTCGAGGAGAAACGTTAGAGCACAACAATAGCTAAAGGGAGATCAAATAGTTTTTTTTTCTTTTTTTTTCTTCAAAACAACAAACCACCAAACCGATGCGGAAGCCAGCGAAGGCCCGAGAGGACTAGAGTCAGTCCCGATGGCCCACCCGTTTTGTCGTTTCCAGCGATGCTACTAGGCCTGGATTTTTAGGCCCAACCAAACGCGACGGCCCACGAGTGCACCTGAAGCGGCGCACGTTTCAGTTTCACTTCCAGGCTCGCGTGCTGTCTCGTCTCGTCTTCCTCGTGCCTCGCGCACTCGCCGCGCCCGCAGCACTACCTTCTTGCCTTTTCTGCTCTCGGCTGCATCGATATACTCCCCCTCCCGGCTCCCGCACGCAGCCCCGGAGGTCCCCAATCTCGCGTCGCGATGGATTCGTAGCCTCGCTCGCGTCGCGAGGTACTGTTGTTCTTGCAGGGATAGGTAGATAGATTCCGGCTGCTCGCCATTGGGGCTGCCTCCGCCCGGTGCCGTCCGTCTCTTCGGCGAGCTGCGGGCGGGGCGCACCTCGTCCTCCTCACGATGGGGGGCTGGAACCGGTCGCGGTACGTGACGGGCCACCGTGACCGCTCCGCCGGCGCTTCGCGTCCTCCTTGGCCTCCGCCTCCGCCTGATTACGGTACGGACGGATTCCTCCCTCTCTTTGTCTGAACCGATGTTCCGATTTGGGTTGTATCGTCCGTAGTCTCTTAGGTTGCGATCGGATTAAAACTCGTTCGATGTCTAGATCTACTCCACGATTCTTTGTTGGTCAGATGATTTGGACACTGATTGAAGCTTGCAATCAGAGTTATTGCCTGTCACTGTAGGCTTGCTTTCTCATGTGTACGGATTGTTCTTTCCATTGCGCATTGAAATGTCAGAAAAAATGCTATCTTTGCGTGACTATCACATCTGTTGGATTGGAGGTAGAGGCATTCCTTTTTGGGGAATAGGAATTGATTGGGAGGGCACTGCAATTGCAAGATAGCAGTGTTGTACAGGTGGGGATTCAGATAATCTGTTCCAGGAACAGTTCAGTCTGCACAGTGCATATAGAATTTTGAAGATGCATGGGAGTGCTAGTCTCTGCTGTTATATATCAGGTCGACTTCAAAAATACTTAATGCCCGTTGCGCGCAATGGATTCGACGGTTGGGATCTTCCGAATCCATGGCTCTCTTGGTGCCTTTCGCGCCATCTTTGATTTGTATACTTTGTCATTTTGCGCACTTTGTCGTAACGCCTAGTCGATTGCCCTGCTCTGATTAAGTAACCGATGTCCGTTGGAATACTGGATACGCCTGCCAATGGAATTATTTGCTACTATTCGTCCCATTCATTGTGTCTGTATTTTTTTTCTCAAGCAATCTGACCTCAAAGTTTTGTGATCTCCTGGAAGACACATGTTCACTTTCTTCATACTAATTATATTATTAAATACATGGCACGATGAGTCCAGTTGTGTAGGAGATATAGACTTGCCTTTAGAAGCACTGCTGCCATTTTAGGATCAAACTCTTTTGGGAAGAATTATGAACGCTCCCTTTATTTAGCATGCCATGTGTGTAGTGTAATTGTCTAATGTTTCCTGCACACCTTTGATTCATATGAATGAAAAGGAAATGAAAGACCATTCATACAATTAATGGGTTCATATCCTATCTCGAGTGTTGTATGAGGGCATATCATTGTGAGCTTGGCTTATGAAATAAAAACTTTACAGCTATGGGCTCAGAAGCTAGCAATCCTAGAATGTTGGGTTATATGTATAAGCTAAGTTATAGCCTTTAGGGATATGATTTTGGTTTTAAGGTTAGCGTTTTCTTTATCATTCTCGATAACCACAGGATTCATAGGAGCTACTTTGGATTGAGATTAAATATGAGTAAAACAAAAGATTGACCACAAATAACGTAGTATTATGTTGCCACGTAACAAACATAGGAGCTACTCTGGAGGGCATATCTGCCTAGAAGGCACCTTGAATGACCACACAATAGATTCTAAATTTATCTTTTGTTTTGGATGGATTCAGATGTTCTCCTCTGTGGTCGTAAACACGGAGGATTGTAACAAGCTTTATCTCTGGGGTATTCAGCTTCTACACGGTTACTGAACTAATTTGAAAATTTTGATAAAAAAAGGCATTTTCTCTTCCAGATTACTTGAACTAATCCTAAAATTTCAGTCTGATATCTTCCAAATCTGCACAGTGGAGCTATAAGAGAATTCTATTTATGTTTTCTTTTTCTTCCACTCTACTGAATCTGAATGCAATAATTTAGGGTATCTTTTGCCTTTCCGTGTTACCGTGCTGCTACCATTAATTCTTAATACTCATTTTTCATATGTGCAGAAGACGGTCACTACCCAATCCCATTATGGGAAAGGGAATTCTGCCGCCACGTTGGCGACATTACTTGGGAGAGGTTCTGTGAAAACAAGCAATATGTTGGACCATTCCATAAACATGAGCCCTGGGATGATTCAGAGGCATTTGATTGTTTCCAGAACGCAAAGGCAAGGTTCTGGGCGAACTATCATGGCAAGCCTTCTGACATTCCTTTGCTGGACGACCCTGATTTGTACATCGACAAGGTCGACCACCAATGCAAACTCGACCCAGAGTTGGTTGCTGAGCTGGATAGTGTAGGGCTACCATTTGAGGATGATAATTCCGCCCCGGCCACAGGATGGGCCAACGCCAGGGCAGACAACAAGTGCACCCAGGATGGATCTGGAAACTGGGATGTCTTCATAGAAAAGCCGGCTGAAGTCAATAAGTGGGACTATGAGGCCAATCTTGCACCCAACACGACTTGGGGAGGCCAGGCCAATGTAGTAACACCTGAGGCTGTTTGGGGAGGCCAATCTTCCAATAAATGGGGCAATAATAGCAACACCAGCTGGGGCGCTCCTTTGGAGAAGCTGAGCTGGCGTGACTGTAGCAAGAGCCACTACACACCCAACAACTGGAACAACAACTTTCATGGCGGACCATCCAACAACAGGTACTGGCAGCCGGAGGATCCGAGCTACACTTCTGGGTTTGGAAGGAAACGGAACGGCAGTGGTGGTGGTGGTGGTGGGTACTTCAAGCAGAGGAACCAGGCCGAGGGCCAGCAGCAGAGGAGCGGCAGCTGCCAGCAAGACCAAAGAGGAAGGAACAGGCAGTGGCGTCCGGTGCACAACAGAGCTCCCTAAAATGGTCCGGACTCTTGATCTCATGGAGAGAATTGCAGGTGTCTTCTTTTGTGCAGTCTGCTGGCAAAGTGGTGCCTGTAAATAGATGTTTGTTTGTTTGAGTTGTATGCTGCAGCTGCTGCTCTTCCGCAGCTGCGGCCTCAGTTTACTTCTGGAGTTCTGGTGTAATGTTAGTATTATGTTACTAGTCCATCACGCGCGCCATCGCGCGCGCCGGCAAATCACCCGGTTAAGGCGCAGAAAAAAAATAAGTTTAATATTTGGACGGAAACAATATTAGGAGTCTAATGTAGACACGTCATGCACAGAAACCCAAAGATTGGAGCTCTTTTTATATTTAATACGATAAGACTATTAAAAAATGAAGAGTGATCTATGCTTGGATCAATAGAACGATAGTACTGTATCTCAGTGATGTAATAATCAATCTAAAATCTTTAGCTTTGGGGTCCACATATTTCGCCCAACATGCATAGTTTTCCAAGGTTTTCTACTTTGTATTTTGGAATCAATAAATAGCAGACATATCTGACCTTGCAGAGTTTGGTGTTCCATTGCGTGCAGAGGCGATAAACGCGTGGTTACATATATGTTCGGGAGGTACAGGATTATAGAATGATTCTGGCATAATGTAACTTCTGTTTTGACTCAATTCATATAGCTCATGCTACAGAACAATGTGATGATGCAAACATGAAACATAACATGCAGCAAACAGAATCACCTTGTAAAACCATTTTGGGTACTGAACAAATTGCAGTGATGCTAACCAGGGAGCTCAATGGAGAGCCAAATGCTGGCCTCTAAATGTTTACTGTGTTCCTCATAGATCATGGGCGATCATGTAGACACTAATCATGTTAGTAGTAAAAAAACAAAAATGATGGCAGGTTACCGCTGAAACCATGGCAACGTTTAATCACGAAATTGGTAAGCATGCCTATCAGTATAATGCAAAGTAATATCGGCGTTGGAAATCCAGGTTTTCTTTTTTGTAAACCACATATTTATATATTGTATCACCTGAAATACACATTACATAGAAATTAATAAAGGAAACTAAATTTAGATAAATCAGCATTACTGAATGAATAGCAAGCAATGAATTAGTGGTATTGCATGATGCCTAAGAAATAAAGGATAATGTCACATGGCAGCACAACAGAGAAAGCTGGAGCAGTGCTCGAGCAAGGAAAAATAAGAAGGCAATCTTTGTGCAGCCGAATGTTGGGTACGTAGAAAATTAGCAAAACAAATGCGCTAGCATTCATTACTGAAATACAATACTAATCACAGCAGAATAGGCTGCACAGTTTGTGCCTGGCCCTAGGAAGGATCGAAGCCATATCTTATTTGTCCGAGCATGTAACGCACCGAATTGCTGGAACAAGGAAATCTAGAATGAGCGTATATACACGGCAGTTTAAAATATTCCATTTCTATTTAATGGGAATGGCATAATATAGTTTGCTTCATTGGTGGAGCAGTAGGTCTGTATAGAGTCTTGATGCAACCATATAAAGTAGAACTATACTGAAAAAGCAGTGGACATATTTGCTGGTTTAACAGAACGTAAAATGGGACTGTGGATGTACAATGAGATGTAAAGAAACAAAGAATTCTATAATCAGTAATATGGAGTTATTAGCAACCATGATATTTCATACTAAACAAATTACCATTATGGTTGACGAGCCGACTCTAATAAATTATCGAAAAATGATGATTTCTCTTAATCATAATTTACACACACTGTAAATGTACACATTTTTAGGCATCATCTACAGGACTGTTGGACACAGTCACAAACTGCAGCAAGAAGTATTTGAAAAGAGTAAATGGATTAAATCGGATGGAGGAGAGATACCGGATAGATGGAGACGTACGCAACCTGCCTTGATTACACACATTCGACATGGTGCATTGTATAAGGAAAATCAACAACAAATGGTGGGTGTTCAGCCGAACCTGTGAGCAAATGAGTAGTAGAGTGATCAGGCCACAGCAGTTGCTCTATATGATCACGCCAAGGATACAAAGAAATTGTAAATCCCTTAACTCTGCGCAATAATGTTGTGGAGCATTCAGCCGACACAAGGTGGAAAATAAAATAAAGCATGGTAGAAACAACAATCTTAGAACCCAGGTGGTAACAAAACCCTACAAAGGTAACCTAGCAAAATGGGAAAAATTGCAATCAGGGGGGTCTTTAGAGCAGGAATATTTTGCTAAAAGCGGTTAACCTGAACCTGTAAACATTTTGATAGCATGACTGCATGAGTAGCAGCAGAGGGAGTTTAGTGCAGAAAAGTAGATTACATCATAATCATAATTATGCAGTATGAATGGGCAGGAAAACGTAAATGCATTGAATGGGCCACTGCTTGGGGCCAACCGTGTATGAACAAATCAAATTATTAAGTTTCATCGGGCTTTGTTCTATCATCAGAATCAAACACATACATGATATGAAGGCCATTATTTTTGTAAGCTAAGAAATAGTTGTTGTAATAGAAAGATATGTAACCTCTGAAACATCACTGATCAATGGAAGGTATACACAAAAAAAGGTCATATTCATATTCCATAAATAGATACCAGAAAGGAACAAGGAAAAAATGGATGAACATACCATGGTGTTGTGACTAGCCAGCTGTCAATTGCATTTATGGCAAAAACAACTTACATGGGAAAAATCAGCTTAAATGAGAGGAGCAACCTAATGTACCTTGAAGAAGAGGGTGAGGAGATTAATCCAAGAAACACCTAAAAGTAGCAGGTATTGACTGGGTTATCAAAGAGGAAAATAGTGGAGCGATTAATCCTGCTGAATTGACGAAGCCCAACAAACACAGTAATGATCTTGTGAAGAGATGCAGCTGTAAAAAATCAGTAAGATGAAATGAGCTGGGGAAAACATTAGAATACAGAGACCAGATATTCGTAATGATCCGTAATGCTCGGATCACTGTATTCTAACGATCATCTGGTCATTATCAAGGTACACTTTGTCATTATCAAGGCACAGACCAAAGATCAGGAAGCATTACGGATCCGGCTCAGTACAGGTCACCCTGCCACGGGGAAAGAATATAGCTTGACAAAGCGTACCTTGATAATGACTCAACCAGCGTCAACACACAATCACTGCAAATGACATGAGCCTATAACAAGGACTCTCATAATGGATCTATATTGAGTCAAACATCTTTTTTTGGTTGCATCTAATGCTGGCCAGCCAGATTAGGCGTACAAAGAAGCAGTTATTTCCCGTAAAATATAGGCAGTAAGATGCAGGGATAAATTGATAAGGTGATCACTTCGCTAAAAGGCACCATAGGCAGCAAGGCATAAGCCTATATCGCTAAGCTGATCGCTTTTTAGACGCTATTATTAGAAAGCAAAGCAAACCATGAGGCACTACATTGCTGCTGCAACCTATATACATACAAACGGCATAGCAACTAATATTAGCTTAGTGGTACTCCAAAAAAAATATAGAGGTAATTGTTGATGGTGCTACAATGTTATCTGGCGAGTTGATGTACCACTTATCTTTTCATAAAATCACATGATCCACATATGAACACACATATGAAAGATAGAACTCACCTATGCAGCACTTGATCCACATATGAACACACAAGAAGTTCAGGCCGGCACCAGCTCTTATATGAGAAGCTGGCGCTAAAAGCACAGGCTCTGGAAACACCTCCTATTGGTGGCGGCATCTAATTAAAGGCACACAATAGGATCAGTCTAGGACTGAATTTAGACATGTGAAACTAACAGAGATCATTATCCATGTAAATAGGGCAAGGTTCTATTTTAGGGCTGAGCAAATTCAGGCAGCGCGGGAAGTGGGCTGAGCAAAAAATCCCCTTTATCTCCTTTCGTACCTTGCCGGCCATCGGTGGAGGCCATGCAGCCGGATCTAGTGGAGACGGGGAGGGCTCGCGCTGGATCCGCCTGCTGGCCGCAGATCCACCGCCTCCGTTGCCTGCGCGAGCTCCACGCCATGCTCCAGCCTCAGATCCGCCGCCGGGATGGGCCCCGCGGGCGGCCGCTCTAGATCCACCGCCGAGGTTGCTGACGTGACCTCCCCGTTGTCATCCACGGCCAGCACGGAGGTTCCTCCGCCGCCAGAGCCCTCCGGCGCGTCAGGGCCTCCGCTGGCTGGCCGTGGGGACGACTGGCGACGGAGGGGCGAAACCCTAGGCCGCGTGACCCGCTGGCTTGCGTCACGACGAGGAAGTGGCGTGGGGGTGGTGGTGGTGGTGGTGGTGGTGGAGGAGGAGGAGGAGGAGGAGGAGGAGGAGGAGGAGGAGGTTGCCGCCGCCGAGGGCGGCTACCGCCATCGCTGCCCCCCGCTGCCGTCCTCTGGAGGCGCGCGCTGGCGGGGGGAGCGGCGAGCGTCGCCGAGAGGTGAAGGGAGACGGGGTTCGGTTTGTTTCTTCTGACGGTACGCTGGGAGGCTTCGAGAGGCAGCGGACGCGGTGGGAGCAGATATTCCAAGGGGGAACTGTAGACGGCGGTGTGAGCAACCAGGACCGTCGATCGAAGAATCCAACGGCTGAAGTAATTTGGGCGACGTTGACGGCCTGAGGAGTGGCCAAACTTCCCTGCTTTGATAATAAGAGATACTGTTAATTAATGTGGGAGCATGACAGTTGGGTGCAAAGATAGTCCATTACTAACTCTGTTCATCTTTTCAGGGCGTCCGCAATGGGTGACTCGTAAGCTAGCTCTAAGTATTTTTTTTCATATTTTAATAGAAGAGAGAGAAAAGCACCTCTTGATCAAGAGCTAGGCTCATCCACATATTCCAAGATCATGTGATCAAGAGATAGGCTCATGCACACATTCCAAGATTATGTGACAATGTCATATGAGGCTATCCATGTTATGAGCTATTAAAGAAGTTGACTTAGAGCTAACAACCAACTTATACCATTGCGGGTGTAGAACGCGCTGGCGTAGCGGACCATGCATGCCCCCGG